AGATTTGCAGAAGTGTTGAACACTCATGCATAACATTGAAAACAGTGAAGTCCTTTAAGAAATACTAAGATTATTTCTCAAGACAACAAGCTTTCCACAACCTGAAGGTAAGCATCAAACCAGCAGTGTCTGCTGGGTAATAAAGACAAATTTTTATCATTTTCTATTTAACAACACCAGTAGGTTCTTCAGAACGTGCATTAATTATTTAGTAGGCTTGCAGGTTACTACGTTACTCCTGATGATTGCAAAAAACAAAACCCACAAGATTACTAAGTCACAAGCAACTTCACTGTGCAATCACAAGCAAATTTGACCTCAAATAATGTGGAGCCTCCTGAGTTTCAGCACCTATTTACATACCTGATGTAATGTTAGCCCTTGAACCACCACCCCTTTCTGAGCATCTTCCCGAACAGCCAGCGGTCCTGAGTTGACCAGAAGATCACGGATCTGTTCATTGTACACCTTTGAGAAGGAATTTAAAATCTCTTTAGAAAAGTTACCCTGTCATACTTGACAGGATTGGGAACCTCATTTTTCATTACTATTTTAAGACAAAGTGACATTCTGTGATAAGAATAAACCGGTGTCTGTGTAACAGCTTAATTCCTCTTCTTTACTCTCCTCCCCTAGTGCTAATTACTATTCCACTTGACTTAATGGGGGCTAGAATGTAACAGTCACTGTACTACCGCTGCTTTGCAGCAATGCAAAGATAGGTACTAGTAAGAACAAAAATGCAAAGCCAAAAAGATAAAGAGAAGAGAAGCTGGCAGCAAAGACCAAAATAATTTTTTGTAGTGAGCTAAACAGTACCATAGCAGTCCTCACAGAAGCATTTCTTTAACTTGAGATACAGTAAAACCAAACTGAATATTACTGGAAAGGAATTAACCATCTTTTAGTTGTGCAATTTCAGTGTTAACAGGAAATTACTGCTAACATCCCTGACAAAGTATCTTCCTGTACCCATTAACAGATAGAAGGAACTTAACTAAGGAGCAAGGAACTTAACTAATTTGCAGGACAGGCATTACTAGAATGAGAAACGAATGTGTTAGAAGAGATTGGCCTTTTTTGGAAGATACAAGACAGTAACAGGTATCTATTAATAACATCAAATTTGAGCACTATTCAGTTACAGTCCCATCAAGGATACATTTCTAAAGTCCCAGAATAGTTCATAATGAGTATGATGACAGAGGAAATAAAAAGTTTAACCTAATTTATAAAATTAGGCCTTCTTAAAAGCAGCATACTAAATCCAGGAGCTGACTTACCTCTAAATAAGACACAGCAACATTGCATATTTTTTCTTCTTTTATTTGATCCATGCAATTATAAAGTGCCATCATGGTTAAATACATCACTCCAGGATCCTCAGGGGAGCCTAACATTGTATGAGTCTTTCCAGCTCCTGTTGCACCATATGCTAGCACTGCATTAAGAGAAAAAAACAGAAAACATACACTTGGTATCAGTAGGCCAAACAAGAACAAACTTCAAATGGACATTCATATCCCCCATCATATTATACCACTGTTTTCACAAACTATTTAACTTTCTTACCTAATATTCGCTTTCTACAACAGAAATCAGAAAGCTATCTCAAGAGTCACGTATTTTCAAGTTTTTAATTCCAAGTTAATTCACAAGCAGTTGAAGTAAAAGATATTTCTTTACTCTCCTAACCCTGGACAACTCATTGCAGATACATAAGGCATTACCTCAGTGTTATATTTGACAGTTAAAAACAAACTTTTGAAAGCTTAAGTTGACAAAATAGATTAATACACTCAATGAAACTACCTCTGGCTGAATAACTCTTCCTTGAATACTCTTCATAAGCACATGTATTTCAGATCAAATTCTTGAAGCTTGTTACAACCCTATCACAAAGTCTTCTTCAAAACATAACATAGCTAGTCTACCTTCCACATACAACAAGATGGTCATAACTATAAATTACAACTAGTTATTCAAACGTAGATCCCTAAGGCCTCTGCAGCATTCAGATACAAGTGTAGATCCTCCAAAGAATTTAGTGAATGAAAAGAGGCATATAGCAAAGATACCTGTGCAATTATATCCATTTAAGAAGCCATCAAGTACACCTTTGGTTGTATGCTCAAAAACTTCCAACTGGGTTGAATTTTCAGCAAAAACAGCATCAAAAACAAATTTAAGGTCTTTCTTTGTTCTTTTATTAATATCCCTGTGGGTCAGTTTCTTTCCATGAAAAAAGCTAAATTCTTCTTCCTTTGGATCAAACACCAATATATGCTGGTCAACAACATGAACAACTTTAGCAAAGTTGCCATCTTTTTCCTTTTGAGTTTCTGGACGGACTCGGACAACCACTTTCATGTGGCTACAGACATCATCTTCTTTAGCAGCAGACATGCTCTCTCTTCTCTGCTTCCAGGGCTCCTTCAGACCAAGCAGCTGAATCTTTCCTGCAATCAACAACAGAAGCAAAAGGCCTTAAACTTGAAACATAATTTCCTCATTAGAATCATCACAGAATGGCCCGGGTTGGAAGGGACCTCAAGGATCATGAATCTCCAACCCCCTGCCACATGCAGGGCCACCAACCTCCACATTTCATAGCAGCCCAGGCTGCCCAGGGCCGCATCCAGCACGGTCCTGAACACCTTCAGGAATGGATGGGGCATCCATAGCCTCTCTAGGCAGCTGTTCCAATACCTCACCATTCTCATAGTAATGAATTTCCCCCTGACATCCAACCTAAATCTTCCCTCCCACAACTTCAAACCATTTCCCCTTGTCCTGAAGTTATCAGCCCTTTCAAAGAGTTGAATCCCCTCCTGTTTGTAGGCTTCCTTTAGATACTGAAAGGCTGCAATGAGGCCACCCCACAGCCATCAGTTTGCAGTTTAAATCAAACTACACACCTGTGCTAGCCCTGCCCTACACTCAGTCAGCTGTAGGAACCATCACAAAGCTCTGAGAAGCACTGTAACTGGCCTGAAAACATCAGTTAACAGTACACAGCTTTAAGGAAGCTAAGCAGGCCTTCCTTGGGAAAGCCAAAGCCTGATTCCTCCGGCTACAGCTACCGTTCCACCTGCAGTTCTCCTTTACTTCAGAGCACTCACACAGCAGCAGGCAGCTCTCTCGTCCTGCAGGAGGGTTCAGGGGCCTTTTGATTATAGGCCCCACAACGCTCAGATACTAACGAAGGACCGCCCTTCCAGGCCTCGCTCTTCACCTCAGAAAGAAGAAAGATATCCCAGGGCCGACAACAAACACAGATCACGGACAAAACCGCACGGTAAGCCCCCGACCCCGCCCGCCCTGCCCGCCATGCCGCTGGGGCGGCCACTCACCTCAGCGCCGCAGCCGAGCCAACCGCTGCCCAGCCCGGCCGCCGAATTCAAACGCCAGCGGCCGCCCCCCCCTCGCCTCCTCATTGGCCGCCGCCGCCGTGACGTCATCAAGGCGACGGCGCGAGCGGGTAAGCGCGTGGCGAGGGTGGTTTCTGTAGCGCTGCGTGCTGTGCGGGTCTGGCGGGCGGGAGCCGCGTGAGGAGAGAGCCGCGGACCTCTAGGCCTGCTCGATATAAGATCCTTCTTCGGTTTTCTCTAGGCTCAACAGCCCCAGCTCTTTCCGCGTAGGAGCGATGCCGCAGGCCCCTAATCGTCTTTGTAGCCTTCTGCTGCATCCTGCGACTGAAAGCACACAAAAAGTTTCCTCAGTTCATAGATGAGTGATTGTGAGCCGTGCTCTGGGTGAGGAAGATGCTTCCCGGGGTCGTAGAGCAAGGCAGTGTTAGATTATCACTGATCTTCTCCCCACCTCTGTGTTAGAGGTGTTGGGGTTTGTTGTGGAATCACAGAATTGTAGGAGTTGGAAGAGACCTCCAGGAATCATCAAGTCCAACCCCCCAAAGGGCTTGCAAAGGACTTGAAGTCCTCTGTTCAAGGTTAGAGGCTGATACATGCTTACAAATGCGATGCAACGAAAGTAGGATAGCCTTTATTCAAAGGGCCTTTGGCTAAAGTATGCACTCTTTTTGTGTGGCAAGAGAGAGTGTGAAATATGACACAACAACAGGTGTGAGCTCATAAAAATGCAAATAACATCTTACTTATGTTAACCTTCAGCTTCCTTCAGCTTTTTTGTTTTTAATCTGCTTTGAATTAATCTGTTGTAATTTTACCGCACATGTAGGTTGTAACACTAATCATAACCGTGTTAAAAACCCAGTGGCACGATTTGTCTTTTCCCATTTCAACTAGAAATACAGGAAACTTGGCAACCTAAGTGCTGCCATTCAGAGCAAGTGCCTCTTTGTGCGTGGCAGGACGTAGGAGAACAAAATGAAAGCTGAGCTACTGTTCTGGTTGTGCTCAAGTGTGGTTAGTCATTTAATAGGGGCTTCTCTCAAGATGTTTGAACATTGATAGAGTCCTAGCAATGTAAAGGAAATGAAGGTATTGCTTGTGAAAATAAAGCTCTATTTACTTAGATGTGATTGATTGTTAGATGGCCTTCAAATTGCTGAAAAGAAGTTAAATTATCAGAGCCTTTTTGCTGAGATGGCATTTCTGTAAAGCCTCCTATCTTGTGAAATGTACTTACAGCATTTGCACTTTTTCTGTTTTTTTTTTTTTTTTTTTTTTTTTTTAACACTTAATGTTTTAAATAGTTACCAAAGTAATTCCCAACATCTGTTTTTTCTAGGATGATCAACTTCAAAATGCTATCTCAGAGTCTGTGCCAAGTTAACAAGTGTCTGCTTCTGTGCAACTTAAAGCTGAATCCAGTCAAGTTAGGTGTTTTGGCCAGAAGGATCTACTCTTCAGTAAAACAGCTTTCTGAATATGATTTAACGGAGCAAACTACACAGGAAAGTGAAACTAAAGAGTTGCTTCACAGTACAGAAAACAAAACCTTTGGAAGATTGCACATACCAGTGATGGTGGAGGAGGTCATTAATTTTTTATCCCCTCAGTCAGGCCAGGTGAGTTAAGTAATTGGTTGACACCTATGATTTACTATCTGTCCAGCAGAAAAGTTTGTGCAGTGTGGTGATAACTCTCCTTTAGAGAAATAAGGGCTGTTCTTTGAGACTATTCCACCTTTTAAAACTTCTGAGTTATTTTGCCATCCAAATTAAGGTTTTATATTTAAGATAGTAGAAATCTCCTATCTATGTGTCTGACCTTAACAAATCCTGAGTAATCTGTTGGTTAAAACTGTAGCATTGAAGCAATCTTTTGCTTTTGTGCTTGTTTTTCTAGACTGCTCTCGTGCATTTGTAGGGTGTTAAGTAGTGTTAATTACCAACAGTAGCAGGGAGTTATGTGTGGTTATGTCATCAATTTGTGAAGAGCTCTCTTCGTTTTGTGTAAGAGCTAGTAGGGTAAAAAATCATTGTAGAATCAACTGTGTTAGAAAAAAATCATGATCATCAAATCCAGCTGTTAGCCTGACCTACTGAGTCCAGTCACTGAACTGTGCCCCTTAGTGTCATGTCCGTGTGTGCCAAATACACTGGCTGGGGATTCTACCATGTGTCTGGGCAGCCTGTTCCAGTGCTTGACCGACATCTAAAGAAATTGTTTTTTATATTCAGTCAAAACCTCCTCATTGTTATTCTCACTGTTTCAGTGGTTTTGAGGTCCAGTGTTTCCTTAGGGTGTGCTTACACTGCATGGAGTGGTGTGGAGGTGCTGTAGTTACAAATGGCAACATGTAGAAACGGTTCTGTATCAATGGCGGACAAGTATTGCAAAGCTGCCTAGTTTGGCCAAGGTACTGTGGAAAGATTCCTTCTGGTAATCTGGATTTGCTCACATCTGTCTATGCTGTAGCATTGGTATGTCTGCACTACATGTGTTATATGCAGTTTAGGTATACTGTTTCACGCTCTCTTTACAAAACTTAAGTGGTAAAATTGTTTGCATCTGGGAGATCTTACATATGATATTAAGTTGAAAGAATTTCATATGCAGTGGTTAAGTGGTTTTCACCTGTCAGATGCTTTTGTCTGCAAACTGAGTGCTTTTTATGTTAGCTTCATACAGGCTTACTATATTTGTCGATCGATGATAAGTTTTAACTAAAACAATGAAATTGTATATGAAGTACTATGTTCAAGGTGTGCAGCTACTTATATATACTTGAAATGCTGTCAACTGACAGTGCAAAGGGATGTGGCAAGTTTGAGATGGATTTGGAGGATCAAAGTGATGTAGTCTAGTTTTATTGTGTTGCCTTGTAAGAACTTCCTTAGTTTGGAAGTCACTGTATATTTTAAATTTTTTGAAAGCCAGTGAGAATCAGAGTAGCCATAATTATTGTAGCACACTTTTTTTGTTGAAAATACCCAAATAATGAACTGCATGCCGAACTTAAAGTTCAGGCTTCATTCACATTTCGGAACTATCATGACATTTGCGCACAGGAGGTGAATATATAAACTGTGAGACTGTATGTAAAGGGTTTTTTTTAGTTGTGTAAGTTTCTACTTAATTAAGAATTCAGGCTGATGTGGGGGACTATTTATTAAACTTTGGTCATTGAGATGTGTATGGGAACTGCTGAATCACAGCCTGAACCTCTGACTGATCACCTGATGGAGCAATGAGTCAGCCACAGGAGCACAGGTGAAGGCAATTCAGCTGTGCTGCTGGAAGGGGTGGAGCCTGGCTGCACCTCTCCTAAACCCCATTTAAGAGCTGGCTACCAGTGGGGAAGGATCTCTTTCTGGAGATCCCTCTTTTTGGAGTTGTCTAATAAGCCCTGGATAAGGGTAAGTCCTCTATCATTTTTTGGTGTAATAATCTGCTTAGCCAAACTCTCTAGTATGTTTCTTAGCTATAGCACCTGTGTATCTTTGGTTATACAACACGTAAAACCTTTTTGGCCAGAACTTGTGAAAGGATCTATTCCTGATTCTAAACTGTGGGAAGTAACTCTGGTCTCTGAAGGCTTTTTAAGGATTCAAATATTTATGATTGTAAAGCAGCATGTTAGTGGAGGGAGATTTTTTTTCAGATCGGTGTGTTTTGTAGAGATTCCTGTACTAGTGGTCAACCATTAATGTCAGACATGAGTGAGCATCATCTTGAGCAGAAGCATTTACAGTGTGTGTAAACTACAGTAAATCATGCATTTACAGCACTTTATGAAGATTGAAGTTTTGAAAGTAAGCGTGCTAAAAGATGTGGTGCGTTCACCAAGTTTTGTTAGAGTAAGCATCATTGGTGAAATTTTGAACTACAATTGAGACTGCTTTTCTTTGCGTGTTACAGTTGGTGTTGAAATGGCTGTTTGTTTCTTTTTAAAATTGTTTTTGAGACCAGGAAACATAAATTCCTGTTTTTTCTACCTTCTCTCCTGTGTACGGAAAGGTTTCCTTTACTCATTTTTAATGCAGTTATGTTCCCCGTTATTAAATAAAATAACAAGGGGGGCCTTTATTTCTTCTGGTGTCCCAAGACAATGAATTGCCAATATATAGAAAATCTAGTTAGAAAGACAACTTTCTAGTGAATGAGGTTGCTAAGAACATAAATGTGACTTCCAGGGTGAGTCACAGCTGAGAGCAAGGTGTCAGTGCCCTCCCACTGAATATTTGATTGACATCTCTGTGGAATCTGTCAGGGTTATAAGCAATAACAGTTCTGCTCATCTTTGAGTCTCCTCTTATTACTTCTAGAACCTATTTCTACAAAGTCCCATTGGTAGTCCTTTCTTGAAAACATATTGTACAAATTAGGTTTTACTGATCTCCTTTTTTTCCTGTCTGTTGCAGTAAATCCACACACAAGTAATTTCCCCCTTTAAGTCTACTGTATTGACTCTCCAACAGCTCCCTGTCTTTCTTGTACTGGGGGCTCCACACCTGGACACAGTACTCCAGATGAGGCCTCACAAGAGCAGAGAGAGGGGGACAATCACCTCCCTTTCCCTGATGGCCACCCCTCTTCTGATGGAGCCCAGGATACCATTTGCTTTTCAAAGTGCAAGAGCACCCTGCAGGCTCATGTTATGTTTTTCATCCATCAAGACCCCCAGGTCCTTCTCTCTTTCTTTCTTCTCTTGAGTTTCAAAAGTAGTGAAAGAACCAAGCATACCTTTTCAAAACGAATGTCTTCAGACATCCCCAAGTATGTTTTTCCTTATTTTCACTCTACTTTTTTTTTCCTTTGCATCAGTCACTTGTCTTTTTGCTGGTCTCTTTTGTGTTATATAGTGATAAAAAAGAAAATATAACTTCACTGGCATTGAGATCTATGAAACTTTGAAATTTAATTGTTTTCATGAGGATTTTCTAACACGGCTTCTTACAAGGTGCAGGCCTCTAGGAAACTATTTTAATAGTGCTCCAGCACAAACAGAAGGTATTGATGTATACTATTTGCATTAAATATGGTTGCCTAGCATGGACAGGATTGTAGATAAAGTAATTTCTAGGAGTAGTATTTGATTTATAGTCATTCTGGAAGTTTTTCCTTTTAAATGTCTATAAATAAGTGATCGAGATGGTGGTGAAGATGAATGAATGAGACTATTTATTCCCTTTTTCTTGTAAGAATTGCTATTTTCATTCATGTCAAATGAAAGATTCATTTTCAGCAGAAAGTGAGTATGAGTATGGCCTTCCAAAGTAACAGAAGGAAACATCAGTTACTGCTGACAGTCTCACGTTGATCTTTTGTGACTTGCTTGAGTCATTGGTTTGAAGACAGTAGTCTTTTACCTCCTAAAGGTCTGTTGCCACTGTTGGGTGTTGTTGATTCAGAGCATAAATGTTCCCTTCTTATTGTGTGGAGCTGGTTAGTCAAGGTGATAATCACATGAAGCTGAGATGAACTGCTGGTGTTCAAAAGCATAGTCCATTGTTGGGAAGGTATTGTCTTAGTTTCCTTATATCTTTGTCCATATGTCAGTATTCCTTTACTTTTTCTGCCTTATAGTGAATGTAAGCTTTTAAGGATAAAAATAGCCTTCCTCTCTATGGTGCCCTGCAGTGTGGACTTCTGTTTTGTGAGAAGGGTTTCCAAGTATCATAGCATATAAATAGTTATGTGGCTATGTTGGTAGCCAGTGTGCTTGCCATAGTGCTTCCAAAGCTATCTGCAAATGATTGGACTGGTACAATACATTTACAGTAAAGGCTCTCAAAATTGAAGTGTTTTATATTGTCTTCAAGATAAATAGGAATTTAAAAAAGCACCTGAAAAGATGTATTTTGAGTTCTCAGGTTGTGTGAGGCATTTTGTAGGGTGCAGCCAAAATACCAACCTCAGCACAGAATATTAATTACATAACAAGACAAATATTGAAACTGTAGAATCATAGAATATCCTGAGGAGGGAGGAACTCACAAGGATGATCAAGTCCAACCTCTGACTCCACAAGGGACCACTCAAATGCAAATGGTTGTTCAGCTGCAGCAGCTTGGGGCTATGCCCACTGCCCTTTGGTGCAGAACTTTTCCATGACCCTCCCCTGATACAACTCTGTTCCCTAGGGTCCTGTAGCTGCTACCAGAGAGCAGAGCTCAGCACTGCTCTCTGCTCCCTATGAGGAGCTGCAGCTGCCTTGAGGGCTCCTCACAGCCTACTTTGCTCTGGGAGCAACAAACTTAGAGCTCTCAGACATTCCTCTAGTGTCTTGCCCTCAAGACCCTTCAAGGTCCTTATAGCTCTCTGGAGCTGGAGCATGAACTCTTGAACTCTCAGGCCATGGCCTCTCCGACCCAACTCAGCCCTGTTTTGGCTGTCATGGAACACTTGTTGGGTCTCATCATCGTTTCCTTACGATATCACAAGTCACATCCCTACCAACCACTATAAATACAGAGGTGCTGACAACAGAACACCAGTTGATGACTGACTTTTGTCTGGGAAGCACATGCTTGAGACCAGGAGCTTTTTACCTAGATCCTTCCCTCCCATTCTAGGAATTTTTGTGGAGGAGGATGGATTCTTCTCCACCGAAGAAGCTCCAGCTTCTAGAGAGCAGCAGCAAGCTCAAGCCAATGCATGTAGACCCACTGGAGGGCAATGTTGAGCCCATGGAGGTGTACCTACCTCCACAGGGTGAACAGATGAAGGTAGATCTATTGCCATCAGACCTGGGCAAGCCCTGTAGCATCATGCTTGCCCAGAAACATCTCTATATCCATTGGTGGTGCAGCAGGAGCTCTCGATTTCTATCTTGGTGTTGAAGAGTCGCAAATGAGCTTCTGCTCTCTAGAGTCCCTTTTTCCCTGTCCCCCATCCTCATCCTTCCTCGAGACCTCTCACCTCTTCTTTCCCAAGCTCTGAGGAAAAGAGAAGGACTGGGACTGGTGTCCTCTAAGCTTCTGCACAGAGAAAACAGGAGTCCAGTGGATGGCCCCCAGCTCTCTGTGGCCACCATGCAAGTTCCAAGGATGAGGGCAGGACTGAGACTGGTGTTGTTATGCTTCTGTACCAGGACAATGGCAGGAGTCCAGTGGATGGCCCTGAGCTCCCTGCAGCCTCTAGGTGAGCCCTCAAGAAGAGGCCAGAACTGGGATGGGGTCCTCTGAGTTGCAGTATAAAGACAACATATGGAGTCTAGCCCTGAGTCCCTGTAGGCAGTCTTGAAGAAGAAAGCAGGACTGGATCTGGTGTCCTCAAAACTGCTGTGCTGGGACAAGAGGAGTCCAGTAGATGGCCATGAGATACTTGATGCAAGTGCTAAAGAGGAAGGCGGGACTGGGACCAGCATCCTCTGAGTTGCTGTGTTGGCACAATAGGAATAGTCCAGCAGGCAGCCCCAAGCTCTCAGTGGACTCCAGGAAAGTCCTGAGGAAGAGGGCGGGACTGGTAATAGCATCCTCTAAGCTGCTGTGTCAGGTCCAGGAGGAATCAATTAGGCAGCCCCAAGCTCCCTGTGGCCTTCAGGCAGCTTCAGAGAAGGTACAGAGGCAGCTTTCTGTTGGAGAAGCAGCAGACTTTGATTTGGACAGGAAGAAGGACTCAAGTTCAGCATAATTCCAGTTGCTCCGCAAGGACTTCTATTTCAAAACTGAACAAAAAACAGTTTAAAAGAACAATACAAAATAACAATGATAAGAAAAACTTTGTTTCTTCTGAAACAGAGCCAGTAAGTTTACCATTTTTGGTACTTCAGAGTCTGCCTTGGGTTTCCTGGATTTGTTTCCCCAGAAGGAACAACTCAGCCCCTTAAGAAGGGGCTTGGGCACATGGCAGGCTGTGGGCATGGCCTTTGCTCAGCACTGGGTACAGAGGGGTGAGGAGGAATGGAGGACTGTGGAGATTTACTGAAGGGGGCTGTGTAAAATATTTGATTACAATCGCACTTGAAAAAGTAGAAGAAAAAATTGAAAATGCAAAAATGCTTGAAAAAGTAAAAATCCTTTAAAATGCTGTTTTTGTCTAAAAACCATTTTGAAGACGGTGTATGAGAAAGAAATATGTTTTGTGAAATTGTTTCAGATAATATGCACACAAGGTTCTCATACCTATTTTTATTGAGTAACAATATCTGTTTTTACAGAGATTGCATCATGAAATGAGAGAGGGAAAATGGAGACAGGAAAGAAAACATGACAGAAGATGATATTTGAACAGCTTGTTAATTGAGGGGGTGGACAAAATCCAGTCATGCTCTTAATTTGAAGTATCTTGCTTTGCTTCTGTCTTCTGTAGTGTAAATTTATTAATTTATTAATAGGATTTGAGAGCACTGCACATCTGTTCTGTTTTGAAGCTGATACTTGCTATATGCTTAGACCCTTGGTAGCAGGAAATAAGTAGTCATATTGGATATCCAAAATGGCAATGTATGAACAGGGCACGGTCAAGAATCCCTTAGGAGTTTAGTTTTTATGGAACTTCAACATTTTTGTGCTGTGGAGAGATAGTAATTCTAAAACTTGAAGGCGCTGGGGTGGGAAGAGTGGGCTGATGGCTACATCTGCACAGGGAAGAATCTTTTGGTTACAATTCTTGGGCATCTGCCCAGCCACCTCTTCTTCCCACCTGCAGCATTGCTCTCAGCAGGCAAATCTAAACATTGTCATCAGCAACAAGACAGCTCTCAGCAACTTTGTTCTGCATCTTTCTCTATTGCAGTAGGGGAAGAGAAGCTTGCATCTGCTATCTCCAAAGAGACCAGCAAGGGAGCTTGGTCTGCCTACTGAGAACAACTCTGCAGATGCACCAGATTTCATTTTATTGTAATACCAAGTCAGCTTGCTGTTATCACTCTATGGCATAACAAATGATAGTGTTTCAGGAGACTATTTAAGAGTCTGTGTTATAATAAAGCAAGATTCAATGCTTTTGGGTGACTCAGCTTGTAATGACGCTGTATACGCTCTCCTATTCTGTTGTGACAGCATTAGTCTTTGCACCTCTTGGGGAAAACTAATAAAATTCACCAGAAAGTAATCTAAGCCCTTTAAATTTTAACTTGAGTGAGCCTGTGATCCCATAAAGGGTGATAATTAATATATGTAGCTACTCATTTCCTTCCCATCTAGTACTGTGTGCCTTATTTAGTCAGCCTTTTGGTTAAACTTTCTTATTAAATATTTGAATGCTGGTTTGCAAACAGGAGTACAGAGTTTTTACTGCAAAATATTACTAGGGGTTTAATATCATAATGATGTTGTGGGAAATATCTGCAGGTTTTTCTTGCTGTCGTGCGTTTCTCTTTAAGGTAATCCAGTTCTGAGCAGCTTTGTGCCAGGCTTGTTCTGTATAAAGGAATAATTCAGATATAAACTACCAAATCTGCTGTCTAAAATTAATGGGTATCTGCAATCATCAAAATGTACAGTCTTTTTTATTATTTTCTTCTTCCCAGAGTTTGAGCACATATCATTCTGATGGTGTTTACTGGTGGCTCAGCACTCTGCAAGAATACTTTCCAAAGTCGTTTGAAAGTGTAAATATGTTGATTTTAAAATCACAAATAATATTGCTTCAGGCTCTCTCTTTGTAAAATGTTGATTTAGCTCATATGTATGTCGCTCTGAAAATAATGCCTCCTATTTATTTCCATGGGAACTACAACAGATACAAAGATGACAATAACACTGTTTGGTAGAGCAAGCACGAGAGCCTGCATGCTGCTCTTGTAAAAATCTGTACCAGTGGAGGTGTTGCCACTGTCAAAACGTAGCACTCGCTATTTCACTGTGCTCACATCTGCTGTTTGTTCTCCATAAGTGTTCAGCAAGCATTGATGAATGTCAGTGGCTACAATTTTTCCTGCATGGAGGAAATCAATGGCACCTCCTTGCTTCATACTTTGCTTCCTTGTCAAACTGCCCTTCTGCTGCCGTCTGCCTAATGGCAATAACTTAAAATGGAGTGGGACTTAATAACAATAACAATAACTTAAAATTGGTGGGAACCTTCAACCTCTACTTCCGTATCATCAACATCATCTGGTATTGTGGGCCAACGGAATAAAACAGGAGGCATTACTTCTGGGACAGTCTGCATATTACCTACTGTAAAATTACTGTCGGTATCTGGCAGCTTAGACTTACCAAGTATGAGTACGTGTCTTGGGTTTGCTGATCCTAAATATGTTAGGAAAGATTAGGTTTGCAATTCAGTCTTTGTAAAATTCTTATTGCATCTTAAATATCTTCTGTTATAATTGACGAAATATAATTTTTTTTTTTTAAATGTAGCTGAGGAAATCAACTATCTTTCTAAGTCTAATGATTAGCTGAGGTCATTGAGAGATTGAAATCTTAATTTCATATGGAAATGTTAATAATGATGTGCTTGAGTCATAATATTATTAAATTTCATTCCAGACATCATTACTCTTAGGGAAATGAGTAAAGTAAATAATGCATGTTGAAGGGAGGCCTATCTGAACTCTCTAAAAGCAGGTGGCAAGGGCCAGGTGGTGGCAGTTTTTTGTCTGATTGATTTGAAAGGTAAGGGCTCACCTATGCTTTGTTGCACTGACAAATGGGACCTTAAAGATTGTGTAACTTAAAGAGCCCTGCTGTAGGCGGGAGTACCTTCTACGTGACCACACTGCTCGTAGTTCTGGATGTGTCACTCAGTTACAAGGCATTACTTGGCACTGAGGCAAGGAGTGCTTCTGGGTGTACAGTAGAAGTTCTGGAGCATAACTCCCTTTGCTTCCAAGGTTAAACCTCTGAGGATAAGGGTGGTTTTCTGTTAATAGGATCTTGCAGGGCTTCTGTGAAAGATCTATGAGGTTGATGACTGAGGAAGCCATAAGGAATTATAAGACAAATTGTGTATATTTGCGGGTGAAATTTTCTAGTTCTGGAGAATCAAGATGAGAAATGAAGAATTAAAAGTAAAAGTGACTTTTTGCTTTGATACATGAAATCTTCATAAGTGCAGGGAGTATCTTCCCTAAGAAATTGCTGGTTTGTTTGTAGCTGCAATCAGATCAGACCCTCATGAAGAAAATATATTTTAAATTAATTTTGAGGATGTTGGTTACGATTGATGTGTGCTTAGAAGTACAGTGTCCATCATTGCCTTCTTTCCTTTATCTGTGGAATGATGTTGATGATGCAAGTTGCTATAATGCTTGAATACATACCAAGCAGGTGACCTTGCAGGTATTTCAACTGTATACAAGTACAGTTTAGTAGCATCCTTTGTTCAAGTACAGAAGTGAGGTAAATGTAAGAAATGGGTGGTATTGGCAGCATTTTGTTGACTTGTTGAATGGACCAAAAGTGGCAAATTGTTTTACATCGTACTTAATATAAAACATCACGTAAGAAGGCTGTTTTGCCTACATGTCCATTATTTATTTGGATTTCTTTCTGTTGTGTAGATCTACATATAAACAACTCTTTATCACTTCATACACTCTTTCAATGTAATGCACAGTCTGGTAATACTAAATCTCTTTTTTTAAGTTGACTTGTGGCTACTTCTACGCAGATGAAAGAGTTGTACCAGGCAGAACTGATAGTTGTTTCTTGCTTGCATCTAGAGTTTTGTTTTACTGTGTAATTTTTTTGCTTCTTTCTCTTCTCTCTAATGGATAGCATAACAATGATTTATGTGACATAATATACTACTATTTGCAAGAATATGGAATGCTAAGATTCCTTTTCTGCCGTCTTTATTTTCTGGCAGCCATAAGGTGTAAGCCCTTCTTACTCCCTTTATATTGGCAACTTTAGCTCTTCTATCAACATGCATGGTTTGGCTTGAATGAAAATGGTGCCTGTGTACATCTGTGGCTTAGTGTATACAGTGAAGGAGTTCCTACGTTTGATATCGATATCATCATCACTTTTTTGGTAGTACATGCAAAGATTTGGAAAGCTTGGTTTAGCTTGCATATTTCTTTTCCACGTTTTCAAGTGCTGCTGTGTGGAAGGACTGATTCAGAGGGTGAATTTGACCACTTTTTGTCATAAATGTTTTTATTTTTCAGAAGCTCTTTTTCATTTTTAATTGTAAAATAACTTGATATCAAAACATGACATTGCTTTGTTTCTTATTTAAGTTGAGGTGACATTAGAACCCATGCTTTAATACCACGTTATGTTTCATTTTTGGAGTTCCTTGTAGGAGTAACAGACTGCGAAGTGCAGCTTTTTCTGGATTGTGGCTTGGACCTTCAGATTATCTGAGTGTCTGTATGTCATACGTGGTTCTCTAGGTTTGTGGTGACATTCTCCTTCATGTGTGGCAATGTTCTCTAAGTTTGGAAAGAAAAATCGAGAATCAAAATAGATGCACTCTAGAATACAGAGATTCTACTCTGATCTACCTTATGAAACAAAACATCGTTGTAAAATGCTTTGTATTCTCAGAACAGGAAAGAAATATTTGTATACTAAAGCTTAAATAATATTTTCTGTTAAATTGCAGTGTTATAGAAAGATCCTGATTAAGAATGCTGGAGTATCTTTGACCTCTCATTCCCTTCCTTGTAGGATAATTTCTCTTGTTTGCATGTGGGTAAAGCAAAATATGTTATAATATATATATATATATATATATATTTTCAGTTGTGGTTTTAAGTGTGTGTGTTTTCTTAATTTATTTAGAGAAGCAGTAAAACCCTTCCAGCATTTCTCTAAAAGTAAATTTCTCTACTAAGAAATCTTTATGATCCCAAGAATGACTTTTATTGTATGTCTCACTGTGCCAACATTTTGTTAACAATCAGTTTTATTTAAAATAATGTTAAAAGCCCTGCCTTGTGGCAGTCATATAATACAAGTATGCCTCTTGAATTTTTTTAACATGAATCATTTTTAACATGAATTGAACATCAATTTAACATGAATCAAAGACATAAAATAAGTTCTTAGGTAGTTGTACGTAAACAGATACAATCCTTACTCTACATGATTTGTCCATGTGTATATTAGGCAGTGGTAGGTAAAGGAAACAGATTCAGGTAAACTGGAAGGAGGAAGGACCTTTATCCATCTCGAGTCAAAATTTGGATCAACTGAAGAGTAATTTTCTCTGTAGAACTGGGAAGATTGATTGATAAAATGTACAGATATTTGCCTGGAGCTCATCAGGGCAGGCAGTTAGACTCTTCAAATTAGTCTGACATCCTTGCTAAGTGGCTTTTGGAAGCTGCACATCTTTTGGCTTACATGAAGTATGTTCTTTCAACAGATGGCAGCCTTTCTAGTAGTAAGAGAAGAAAGATTTGTAGAAGTCTTCTCATGGGTAGTTGTTATCTGCTGGTACTTTGGTGACTGAAATGCTGACATCATGGAGAAAAACCTCAAACTTGTAACACTTTATAATCAATATTTTTGCTTCCTAACAGGGAGTTCTAGATTTCTGACAGTTCCAGAGCCAAGGTCTGATTAAACACTTGGTAAATCTTTGACAGATGCTGTTCCCTGAAACTAGAAAGATTACTGCTGTGAAGTCTAAGATGAGCAAGAGCGGTATTTGTTTTGTTTGAGTAGAGAATATTTATTTGCTTTCAGTGCAGAATGAAATGACTGAATACAAACTGCTTTGGTGGTCTTGAATTTGTAAGCAAGCACTTACCTGGGGAAGGTATTAAAAATGACTAAGTGACCTCTTCTAAGTGGGAAATTGTATCTTGTTGAAAAGGTCTTATTAGTAGAATGTAAACCTCTTATTTCTCAAGTAGTGAACTCATGCCTGAGCGGAACTTCTGTTAGTTACTTGTATTTTCTTTTTTAATTCTTTCTGAATAATATAGTATTTTATAGGGAGCTTTCTAATATACACCTATTTTATAACACTAGTGGGATTCCTTTATATTGCACAGATCATTTGGGATGATGTCCAAGATGTGACTCACTGTGATGTTTTAAGGCATTATAAAGTATTTGCAAACTCATCTAGATTGTTTTGTTGTGGTGACGTGATCAGGCTGTACTTCCTGTCTTGAGGAAACCTGCAAACATTGTAGGTAATCAAGATTTGCTGTACTACTTTAATTTCTTCTTGGTAAGACATACTGCAAATTTACCTTTGGCTTTATAATTTTCCTTAATGGATTTCTTCAGCTGTTTTGAGTGTGTCTTAATCTATGTTATATGGTTACTGATAAAAGACAGATTTGATCTGGAACACTGAAGACATAAACACCATTCTGGATTTCTGAAACAAAAATACTGACCAGCTTTCTTGGTTTATAGAAGAATACATAGCACTTGTAATGGAAATGCTAAGCAGGGCTGGAAGCATCGATTGAGCACCTGATGGGAAGGCAGGGCCACCCCAGGGAGGTCAGCTGCATGCAGTGAGGGGGTCGGGATCCTCATTCAAGGGTTGGCAGTGGA